ACAGCCCTTCTTTCTCCCATGATTGTTTTCTCCAAGGAGTGTGTCTACCTTAGGTAAATGTTCAACTTATATGCCTGTCTTTTCTTTGGCTAGAAGCCACAGGCTTGGGTTCAATTCCAGACCTTAAGAGCAGCGAGGGGCCATACTCTCAGTGGTTCCACCAGGCTCTATCAGACCAGCAAACCTGGTTACCCCCCTCTATTTTTTTCCAAATTATTTTGAGTTTTGTTCCACATTGTTCTCCCTCTCTATCCAGGATTTCCTACATAGATCCCCCTCCAACTGCAAACCAACTAAATTTTTAAGAGCAGTTTTTTTCTTTCATAATTTTTATGGTTGGTTGAAAAAATATCTGGAAATTTTCTGTGCTAATGGAAAACCAAGGCCAAGAAAGAGAAATTTCTTATACATAGATCAAAAACTGTCAAGTATTAGTTAGATGACCTCTTTCCATTGATACATTAGAAGAGATTTATCAAATGGTTAGAATTTTAATTAACTATTGGTTTTCTAACTATTCTTGTCAGATACCCTCTATTACTTGTGATCCCTTCTCCTACCATAAGACAGACTATAGGGAAAGATCCACTCTCTCCATCTGCTCTTTCAATACTTATCATGAAAATAAGCATATAACCTATTTACTTTGAGACTTGGTTGAAAATCCCTGGTGAGAAGCAAACCAGGAAAATCAAGAAAAGATTATGAAATTCCATTAAATAGTTAGTGTTGGTCTGAAAAGAACTCCTGTTCTCTTCCTTATTTCCTTAGGTTAGAATTTCTCATACTTTGCTTCTCCTTTAAATCCCAGTAAGTCCTAATATATGTTCCAAAATCCACTTAATTCTTGCAGACTCTGCTTGCAAATAAATACCTGACCTCAAGCAAAGCTGGACATAAGGGGTAGGAGGAATGTCGATCCCTGGGCACCCTCCTCCCAGCAAGGCAGTTTACCTTTGGATATTTCTTCTTTGGCCTGATGAAAGGAAGTTGTGCTATGAGTTATCCACTATTGATGTCTTAGGAGAATGATTTCTGCTGTTTGATGTGGTTGCCTTAAGAAATAATTGTAATGCAATAAGAATTTCTCTTACTTGTTAACTAATAAGTAAAAATATGTTATAGAAACAATCACATTGGTTTATGTTGCTTACTGATCCCTGTAGATGTTATACTGAAAATACATATCCCAGAGTTAGCCTAACTATTACTCTAAATTTTTATTTACAGATAGCTAAGTGCTGGACTCTGAGCTAAGCCTGTTACATGATCTGTCTTATTAATTCTTACACATCACCTCTATTAGGTGAATAAGATTATAATATCATTTGAAAATGATTTTTACAGGGAGATTATGACTTCAAAACCATTATGACTCATGACAACTCTCATTGGGTCTCTGTATATCTGAAAATTAAAAGTATGTGCCTGAGCCTTTGATGAACCCCTCTTTTGCTTGAAATCCTCAGGGCCTTTGCAAGAATCCCATGGCTATCTCTTGGTATAGTACTTGGTTCCTGATCCCTTGGTAGAGATTCTCTTATTGCTGATCTGTGGGCTAAGAAAGAAATTCAGCCATCTCTGCCAAGTGTACTTCTCTTGAACAAATTCATTCTAATCTTCTGATAATTAAAAAACAGTTATAGGAGTATATCAACAGGGAACTGCCAGAAATTCAAGCCACATTCAGAAAAAGGTGTGGAATGAGGAATATAACTGCTGATGTCAGAAGGATATTGGCTGAAGGCAGAGAATACCAGAAAGATGTTTACCTGTGTTTAATTGACTATGCAAAGACATTTGACTGTGCAGATCATAACAAATTACAGATAATGGCATGAGGAACAGGAATTTCAGAACACTTAATTGTGTTCACTGGAAACTTGTAAATAGACAAAGGGGCATATTTGAACAGAACATGATATCAAATCAGAAAAGTGTGTCAGGGTTGTATTCATTTATCATACTTATTCAATCCATAGGCTGAACAAATAATCTGAAAAGCTAGGCTATTTGAAGAAGAATGCAGTATCATGAATGGAGGAAGACTCATTAACAACCTGTGGTATGTAGATGATATGAACTTGCTTAGTAAAAGCCAAGTACTTGAAGAGTTTACTGATGAATATCAAAGACTTTTACTCTAAGTATGGACATCTCAACATAAAGAAAATAGAAATCCTTACAACTGGGTCAATAAGCAATATCATGATAAATGGAGAAAATACTGAAGTTGTCAAGGATTTCATTTTACTTGGATCCACAATCCGTGCCAATGGAAGCAGCAACCAAGAGATCAAATGAACTGCATTAGAAAAATCTGTTGTAGATAATGTTTCTACAAGTGTATTTGTATTTGTAATTCCCAGGTACACAGTAGAGCTGACAAAGGACAAGATTGTAGTCACTTCTTGGCCACAGCCAGCTACCCAGAGGGAACAAGTAGTTGGTCTTGTGGGCTTGGGACTGTAGCTGCCAGAGGACTTCAAGCTCAATTGACATAACATACTACACAAAAACATTGTTCCACATCCTACTTTGGTGAGCAGCGATTAGGATCTTAAAAGCTTACAGGCGGCCATCTAGATGCAACAATGGGTCTCTCTTCATCCAGAGAAAAGAAGAATGAAGAAAACCAAAGATGCATGGAAACAGTTTGTCCAAGGGACTGGTACACCATGCGATCCTCAGCCTATATGACTATGAGACCAGAAGAACAAGATGGTGCCTGTCTACCATTGTCAACAATCACAGAGGGGGATCTGTGTAGGAGATTCTGGATAGAGTGGAAAAACAATGTGGAACAAAACTCAAAAATCATAAATAAATTAAGAAAAAGGCACCAGATTTGCTGGTCTGATAGAGACTGATAGAACCACTGAGACTATGGCCCCTAGTTGCCCTTCAGGTCTGGAATTGAACCCACATCTGTGGCTTCCAGCCAAAAAAAAAAAAAAAAAAAAGACAGGCATATGAGCTGAACATATGCATTGGGTAGATACACTCTTTAGGGAGATCAATCATGGGAGAATAGAAGGGCTGTGTATACACAGGGAGACAGCTCAGGGGGGAGGAGTGCATGGGAGGGAAGGACACAGGGAAGAGGTAAATATGGGGAGGAATTGGGAGGGGAGCTGTTGCATTGTGGGAGGTTGAAGTCAATGTCATGAGACAAAGTGTATGAGTTGCTGGATGGAAAATGAATTTGCTCTGTAAACTTTCACCCATATCACAACAAAAATTAAAAACAAAACAAAGCAAAACAAAACCTCTGGTAAAAGACCTCTCTAAACTGTTGAAAAACAAAGATATCACCTTAAGGACTAATGTGCACCTGACCTAAGCCATGGTTTTTTCAATTACTTCATATGCGTTTGAAAGCTGGACAATGAATAAAGAAGGCTAAGGAAGAATTGATGCCTTTGAATTATGGTATTGTCTAAGAGTACTGAATGTACCATTGACTGCCAGAATAAGGAAAAATCTGTCTTGGAAATACAATTCTCCTTGAAAATGACATGTCTTTGACTCATATGCTTTGGGTGTGTTATCAGGAGGGACCAGTCCCTGAAGAAGGACATTGTACTTGGTAAAGTGGGGAGTCAATATAAAAGAAGACCTTCAACAAGATAAACTGACAAGTGGATGTAACAATGGACTCAAACAGCAATGATTGTGAGAATGGTGTAGGACTGGTCAGTGTTTTGTTCTGTTATACATAGTGTTTCTATGAGTTGGAACTGACTTGCTGACACTTAAGAAAAATAGTAAAAACTTCTGTTTAATTATTTCCTATTTCCTTCTCATGAAAGAATTGGATCTGTTCTGTTCATTGATGTTTTTATTTCCATTACCTACCATAGTTAATCAATTGCTGTTGAGCTGATTCTAACTCATGGTGATCTCATGTATTTCAGAGTAGGATATGCTTCTTAGAGTTTTCAGTGACTGTGACCTTTCAGAAATAGATTGTCTGTCTTCCAAGGACCCTGTAGGTGAACTTGAACTACTAATGTTTCTATTAACAGCCGAGTATGTTAACTATTTGCACCACTGATTTGGTTCTCTTGTACTGCTCTAACAGAAATACCACAAATGGGTGGCTTGAATAAATAGGGATTTATTCTCTTACAGTTTAAGAAACTAGAAGTCCGAGGTCAAAGTGTCAAGCTCTAGGGGCTTTGTGAAGACCCCTTGACCTTGGGGTTCAGCTCTTCCTCTTGCTCCTGGCCCATAGAAGCTGGAGGCATTTTTTTAACTAAGGCAGCTTCTGGCTGCTGAGGCTAGCAAACCCAAGGTTGGCAAGTAAAAAGGCACAATCCTAAAATAATCAAACAACAAAGCAGGCCACTAGTTCAAGTCTAGAAAAAGTCTCAAGATCAACAGGGCATGACATGTTGCTGAATGAAGACTTGGCTACATGCAGGGTCCAAGAGTGCCAAAAAGCTGCAGAGAGTTTTAAAACTTCTTATCTACTGGAAGCAGACCACATCCCAAAAGCAGCTACTCAGCTGCTCCAGTAGATTCCACCATGGAGGTGACTGATAATCTCACCATAGGGAATAACTACATCTAGCTGCCCAGTCATTAAAAACCAGGCCCAGCCAAGTTGACACATAATCTTAACTACCACAACTACCCAGAAACTCTGACTTGCAAAGTGCATAATGGTAATACGTTGAGTAAACAAAATTTACCAAATGATAAATAAACATATAAAATGGTTGAGCTTTACAGACTATGAAAAGAATGAGTACATTTTTTCTGGTTATAAATTGGCAAAGTTTATTTTGTTTGTTTGTTTAATGATAATTTCCGTTTTGGGTGAGAGTCAAGTAAAATGGGTCCCCATGGGCAGTTGGTGAAAGTATATACTGGTATAGCTTTAGTTGAAAATGATTTGGTATTGAGAGTCAATAACCTTAAACATGCTAAGGCTATTTATCCTTTAATAGAGTACCATTTGTGGTATTTATTTTATTTATCTAAAATTTGCCTAGGTTACAACCTGCAGCTGACCACAACTTAAAGAATATTAGCAACCTGGCCTTTTTAAGAGAGATACAGGACTTTGCTGAGGAAGTTTATGAAACAATGAAAAAGGCGGAACACTTACAAAAACTTTGGATAAAAAGATCCAAGGTTCCAGGCAAGTAAATCTCTCATAACTAATACTAGTAATCTGGTCAAAAAACTTAAGCAAAGACTCTGGGATTACTGTGAGGACCAGAATGGTTTAAAATTTTTGTTTAGTCCCTCTTAATGCACCAGGCTATTCTTGTATGCCTTGGAAAAAGATGTACCCTTTGTTGGATAAGAGGCAGTACCAGGGCTAGTTGTGGAGGATGGGATGGGATTTCCATTCCCTCCTGTATCTGGGAAGTTATCTGATGCAATACACAAACTATAAACCTTCAAAAGGACCTGCAATCTGTCCCTGCACTATGTACTCACCTATTCAGTCTCCACTCTCCCTGCTAACTTTACTTTTTTCTGTCTTTTCTTTTTGGTATCTTCCTTTTCACTTTGTCTTCCTGTTTCTTTGTTTTTTTCTCACCGCCCCCCCCACACACACGCACACACAGTGATTCCTTCTCTCCTGTTTGTTGACTTTGATTCTTTTTTTTTGATAATAATATTTCAATTTGGTCTTCAGTGAGTAGCTTGCATTGATTGATTTTGTATTAGTGGGGCTGATTATTCTCTAAAAAAAGTCATTTCTGTTCCTAATGAGGGATGCCCATATTTTGGGAAGCTCTGACTCTTATTTCTAAATTCACCATAGTCAAAGTTAGCATAGAAATAGCTTCTAGAGAGCTCAGTTTATAGGTGGAGTAGCTTGAACCTCAGATTGGTGATCCTAATGGTCTCCCTTCACAGACACAGGCCATTGCCTACTGCCGGCTTTTTTAATTAACAAGGGTCTCCTTTTTTTTATTTTTTAATTCTTTTCAAACACTTCCCCAACTGTCGCTGCCAGATAAAACACAGGGCATTCATTTAAATTTTAACTTTAGGTAACAACCAAGTAATTGTTCAGTATAAATATTTTCCAATTATGGCACACTTAAAACAAAAAAAAATTAATGTAAAATACAAATTTAATTGTGCATATTGTATTTTTATTTGCTAAATCTGACAATACAATTCAAAGTTTTCTTTTTACATATTTTTTTTTTTCTTTTTATGCATATATATAAGAAAAATGAAAACTAAACTCCTCACAGGAGGTGATCTCATGTGCTATTTCTTGCAGCAAAAACAACACCTTTGTTCAGTGTGGTCAGGCAGAGCCTTGTCCTTTCTGATGGCTGATTTTGCAATGGATCCAAACTGCACTGGCAAACGACCAAAATAATGTCCAATGTCGAATACTGAAGTTCTGGTTTTAAGAGGTCTTTCTGCTTTCATAAAACTTATTTATCAAATGTGGTTTTCAAAAAGCTATTAAAAGGAGAGATATTTATTTGTTTATTTATTTATGATAATGCTGCCACTTTCTTTTCAAATTGTTACTATTTGAGCCATTTACCATGGTATATGTGATTAAAAATGATATGTAAAACGGTAATTTAATGTTTCTTTTCCTATGCAACTTTTTTCTTTCATCTGTATTTTTGTTGTTTTTCTTTCATGCTCTTTATGCTGTCCCAAATGTTCACAATGCCTCGTAGAATTAGATATTGATAAAATAATACAATCTTCTGGCAAATTGTTGAAATGTGTTTTCCCAGTGAAGTCATTTTCCAGTTATTTAATTAATAACAATGTATTTTTCAAAAGGGTGATAAGTGTGGAACAGATTTCCAAATTCTCATGGAATTCAGACATTCTGGAGCTATGAGGGCTGGATGACCCTCCAAAACTGTTACTTTGAGATAATGTTTAAAGCTTAAACTTTTAACCAAAAATATCCCCTGAAATCTTTAAACCAAACAATTAGGTAGCATATTTAATAAAGAATATTTGCCTTGAACTTCATATTCTTTTGAATAACTATGTATAGTGGATCAAACTGGTAACAACAACTAGAAAGGTCAGATGGGAAGCTTAGGGTGCAGTGAGTTTATATCACTGGGGAATGGACAATTCAGAAAAGGAGGGTGAAAATTGTTGACCAGCTTGAATAATGTGATCAATGACACTGAACTGAACATGTAGAAATTGTTGAATTGGTGTGTGCTTTGGTGGGAATACTTTCAACAATATTAAAAAAGATAACAACATGTTTGGGAAATTGACAGTGACTATTCATTTCAGATTTATTCTTCAATTTAGGGTTTAATCTTTTTCTTTTCTTTCTTTCCCTTTTTTTGTTTTTACTTTTATTGTGGTGAAAGCATACACAACAAGACATTTGCCAACATAACAGCTTCCACATTTACAGCTCAGGGACATTGATGACATTTTTAATTTTGTGCCACCATTATTGCTATCCTTTTCCAAAATATTCCACCACCATTAGCATAAACTCAATGCCCCACAAATAAAAGCTTCCCCTTTCCTCCTCCCTCCACCCTCCCAGCCATGGTAGCCACCAATAATCTTTGATTTATACACACTCACACACACACATATATGTATATATATATATATATTTTTTTTTTCCCCCCCAACTTCCCTAGGAATTTTCTCTTCTCTCCCCTCCCATCACTGACAACCAACAAAGAAAATTTCCTTCCATGTATAAACCTTTCCTTTACTTTTTTACTAGTCTGCTATGGACTAATACATTTGTCCTTCTGTGATTGGCTTATTTCACTTAGAATAATGTCTTCCAAGTTCATCCATGTTATGCAGTGTTTTGCAGAATCTCCATTCTTCTTTAGGGTTGCATAATATTCCATTGTGTGTTTGTTTATCCATTTCTCAGTTGATGGGCACTTAGGTTGTTTCCATCTCTTTGCTATTGTTGTGCTGTGATATATTATGTATATATATACATAATATATATATATATATATATTATGTATATATATACATAATATATATATATATATATATTATGTATATATATACATATATATATATATATATATATAATGTATTATATATATATATATGTGATATATATTGTGCTGTGATGAATATTGGTGTGCATATGTCTATCTGTGTCCTGCTTCTCACTTTTTTAGGATACATACCTAGAAATGGGGCTGGATCAAATGGTATTTCTATTTTCAACTTTTTAAAGAATTGCCATAATGATTTCCACAGTGTTTGTATCATTTTACACTCCCTCCGGTAGTGTACGAGAGCCCTACTCTCTCCACATCCTCACCAGCTTTGTTATTTTCTGTTTTGTTAAACTTTTTTATTACTACTGGGGTGAAATGGTATCTCAGGTATCTCATGCAAGTTTTGACTTGCATCTTTCTAATGGTTAATGATCATGAACATTTCTTCATGTGTTTGTTGGCTGCCTGAATATCTTTAGTGAAGTGTCTGTTCATATCTTCTGCCCATTTTTTAATTGGATAGTTTGTCTTTTTGATATTCAGGTGTTGGAGTTTTCTCTCAATTTTAGAGATAATCCTTTGTCCAATATATCATTGCCAAATATTTTTTTCCCATTCTGTAGGTTCTCTTTTTACTCCTTTGAAGAAGTCATTTGGTGCACATAAGAATTTAATTTTTAGAAGGTCCCAATCATCTACTTTATCTTCTGCTGTTTGTGCATCTTGGGTTATGCTTGATTGTCTATTTATGCCATAAATTAGGGCCCCTAAGTTTGACCCTACTTTTTTCTTTGATGAACTTAATAGCTTTATTTTTCACACATAAATCTTTGATCTATCTGGAGTTTGTTTTTGTGTATGGTGTGAGCTTTGGATGTTATTTCATTTTTATGCAAATAGATATACAGTTTTGCCAGCATCATTTGTTAAATCCATTTAATGGATTTCAGCCTTTTGTCAAAGATCAGCTGACCATAGGTTGATGGATCTGTTTCTGGGTTCTCAATTCTGTTCCACTGGTCTATGTATCTGCTGTTGTTCCAATACTAGGCTGTTTTGACCTCTGTGGCTGTGTAATAGGTTTTGAGATCCAGGAGTGTGAAACCTCCTACTTTGTTCTTCTTCTTCAATGTTGTTGTTCTTATGTGAGATCTGACTTATAGAGACCCCTTCTTGGGTTTCTGAGGTGATATCACTATGGAAGTAGATTGTGCAACTTTCCTTCCAAGGAGTGGCTGATGAGTTTGAGCTGCCAGCCTTCTGATTAGCAGTCAAATGCCTTAGGCACTGTACTATGAGAGCTCCCTTCTTCTTCGATTGTGTTTTGCTTATCTGGGGTCTCTTTCCTTTCCATATAAAGTTAGTGATTGGTTTTTCCATATCCTTAAAGAATGTTGATGGGATCTGGATTGGGATTGCATTGAAGGTATAGATTGCTTTGGGTCATATTGACATTTTCATAATGTTCAATCTTCCTGTCCATGAGCATGGTATGTTTTTCTATTTATGTAGATCTCTTATGGTTTATTGAAGTAGTGTTTTGTAGTTGTCTTTGTATAGGTCTTTTGTGTCCCTGATAAGAATTATTCCCAAGTATTTTGTCTTTTTGGTAGCCATTGTAAATGGTATTGATTTCCTTATTTCCTTTTCAAAGACCTCTTTGCTGGTGTAGAGGATCCAACTGATTTTTGTATTTTGATCTTGTATCCTGCCATGATGCTAAATCTCTCAGTTAGTTCCAGTAGTTTTCTTGCAGAATCTCTTGGATTTCCTGTGTATAGGATCATATCATCAGCAAATAGGGATCATTTTACTTCTTTCTTACCAATTTGGATGCCTTTAATTTCCCTTTCTTGCCTTAGTGCCCTGGTTAAGTCTTCCAACACAACGTTGAATAGAAGTGGAGATAGAGAGCATCATTGTTTAGTACCTGTTTGTAAGGTTTCATTTAGTCTTTCCCCATTGAGAATAATGTTGGCTATTGGCTTTGCATATATAATCTTTTCTTTTTTTTTTTTTAAGGATCTCTGGTTGTGTAGTGGTTAAGGCATTTGGCTGCTAACCAAAAGGATCAGTGGTTTAAACCAGCTACCCACTCTGTAGAAGAAAGATGGGGCAGTCTATTTCCATCACCATTTAGAGCTTTGGAAACCCAACAGGGGTTGCTACTAGTCAGAATTGAGTCTATGGAAGTGAGTCATAGTGATTTAGGTCAAAGTTTACAGAGAATTTTTTTTTTCCATTCAAAAATTCATATACATTTTGTTTTATGCAATTGATTGCAGTCCCCACAATGTAACAGCACTTTTCCTACTTCTTCCCTGTGTTTACCTTTTCCATTTGTCCTTTAGTCCTTCTTTCCTATCCCTTCTTGCCTTCTGAGCATCATCCCTAGGTAAATGCTGCTCTTTTGACCTGAAATTCTAAAGAGTGCATACCTCCCTAGTGTTACTGTTTTCTTCATTACCCCGTCTACCGTTCAACTGAAAATTGAGCAACAGGGATTGTTTTAGTTCCAGGCCTGAAAGGTGTCTAAGGGCAATAGTCTCTGGCATTCTAAAGTCTCTGGCATTCTAAAGTCTCTAGCAGACCTGTAAGCCTGGCCTTTTTAAAAATTATTTTGAGTTTTGTTCCACATTTTTCTTCCATTCTATTCAGGACCTCCTATTGTTATCCTTTTCAGAGTGGTCAGCAGTGGTAGTCTGGTATCATCTAGTTCTTCTGGTCTCAGTGTTCTGGAGCCTGGGTTCACATGGTCCAATACTCCTTTGGACCAACTGATTTTCTTTACTCGCTGCTCTGGACAAGAAGAGACCAAAAATTGCATCTTAGGTGGCCACTCACAATCTTTTAAGACCTCAATTTCTACTCATCAAAGTAGGATATAGAACATTAGCTTTGTGGACTATCTTAAGTCAATTAATCTTGGTGTCCCCTGAAACTGTGGTCCCGAGTACCCAGGCCCAGTGACTAATTCTCTCAAGAGGTTTGTTATGGCTAAGATGTTTTCATAACTTTGCCACCTGTATGCTATATTCATAGTACATACACCAGTATGTACTATATTCATGAATATATTTGTAGTGTATGTAAATATATATGTAGAAATATCCTGTTTGAAACCTATATTTGTGGATAGAGTTCCATTCAAGTTAGGGTATAATCTTGTTTTGAGTCAGGAGTCTGTGATACTTTCTTTGATTTTGGAATTAAACAGACTGCAAAATGTTTTTTGCTTGCCATTTGAACTAATGTCTCTTAACTATGCTTTGTTGCAGATTCTTCATATGGGTCCAGTTTTTTAACAGTGAGTACCTTAGCAAAATTTGAAATTTAGTTTTCAGAGATATAGTGTTGTTATTGCTATGTGCCGTTGAGTTGGACCCGACTCCTAGCAACCCCTCCTTGGGTTTCTGAGGCAGTACCATTATGGAAGTAGATTGCCCCATCTTTCTTCCGAGAAGTGGCTGGTGGGTTTGAACTGCTAGCCTTCTGGTTAGCAGTCAAGTGCCTTAGGTAGATATATAATAGCTAAATTAAAAATATTATTTTGAAATTTAATTCATTTGTTCTAACACTATTTTTTAGTAATAACTGTGTAGAAACTAGGGAGATCTCAGGGCATAGTGCCTATGGCATTTGACTGCTAACCAAAAGGCTGGTGATTCAAACCCACCAGCCACTTCTCAGAAGGAAGGTTGGGCAATGTACTTTTGTAGTGATACCACCTCGGAAACCCAAGGAGGGGTCACTATAAGTTGGCTCCAACTTGACGGCAGTGAGTTTGGATTTTGGTTTATGTAGAAACTAGGAAGGAGCTCTGGTGGTGCTATGGTTAAAGCATTGGGCTGCAAACCAAAAGGTTGATGGTTCAAAACTACCAGCTGCTTCACTGGAGAAAGATAAGGCAGTCTGCTTCTGTAAAGATTTAGAGCTTTTGAAACCCTGTGGGGCAGTTCTCTATTTTATAGGTCACTGTGAGTTGGAATGAACTTGAGAATAATTTTTTTTTTTTTTTTTCTTCACACTGCTTTGGGTTTTTACTACAGAGAATGCATTACATCTGTGAGGAAAAACCTGAGCGCCAACTGGGGACTGTGAGGAGACCTATAAATTAGCAACACCAGGAAACCCAGCGTTTTTTTTTTTTTTTTTTTAATGTAGAAACTAGATTTCAAAAACTCAGATTCACTCAGTATGGGTTTAAATTTTATCCAACAAGGCCAGAAGTTAAGACATTGAGTAGCAGAAAGTGAAAGTTGAGATCTCTGTGTTGTACACAAATAGAGTTGCTTTGTCAGACAGGTTTCATGCCTGAACTGATCTCAGTTCTGTATGAAATATGTGTTTTTGGCATACAATTTTGGGTTCACTTTAGGCACACAGCCTTTCCTTTAGACATTAGTTATTAATAAGGAGTTGTTTTGATAATGTCCAGAGACATTTTTTCAGTGTCACAGCTAGCAAACATCCTACTATGTGCAAACCAACCCTCCACCAAAAGGAATTATCTGGCCCAAATGCCCATGTATGCCAAGGTTGAGAAACCACTCATTAAATGTGAATCCTAACAATATTGGAAATTCTTCTTTGCTTGTTTTGCAGCAGTTGACACTGTTTGGCATCTTAGCAACATTGTGCTACAGTGGCATATTGTCCTTGTGCCTGCCTAATTCTAAGAAGAATTTAGATAGTTAAAAACAGACAAACAGGCAAAAATGTATATACAGTAAAACCATTAGAAGGAAAGTAAAAGAATAAGGGAGAAACAATGAATTTGAATGAATTAGGACTGTTAGTGTGTCAAATGGATAATTATAATAGCAAAGTAGAGTCACGAAAGTGACTATGATATAACACCTTCTTAACTTTGAACTTTCTGATATACTTGGCCAAAATGAAAATATTAGTGGTCACATATATACAGAATTTTATAAAGAACTTATTTAAAATAGGAAAACATTTCAATGATTAAATTAGCTAAATATTATAGTCCACTAATATAATAATACATGGTATGTAGTGATAAAAATTAATACAATAACTTTCAGAAAAGCAATATGATAGCTTTTGTCCTATGAATTGTTCTGAAAGTTTATCTTATTCACAATGCAAAATAAATTAAAAGCTATGTATAAAAGATATTCGTTTATAATTGTTGATAATTTTAATATCCAAAAATAGGTTAAGTAAAGATTGATAGCCTAATTTAGTAAGTCACTTGATGATAAATATGTGATATCTCTACAGAAGTAGACTGCCCACTCTTCCTTCTGAGGAGGGGCTGGTGGGTTTGAACTGCCAGCCTTCTGGTTAGCAGTCATATGCCTTAGGCACTATGCCATCAGAGCTCCCTGATAAATATGACACATGGTAAATGATTATAATATTATATCAAGTGTAAAAAGCAGAGTACAAAGGCATATATCATTAAAAGAACTGTGATAGAAAAAATTTAGGTATACATAACATGAGCTGAAGAACTGTGGTCACATGAAAACAGTTTTGTTTATGGTAAAAGATTCCTAGGTAATTTTTCTATGTTTACAACTCTGAAAATGATATTATACTGTTTGGCTTTTGTTCAGAGTGATTTAGTCATTGGAGTGTCCTGTGTAGAGGAATGATGAGACTTGATTTATGTTTTCAAAGAACTTCTTTGGATGTTATGATGAACACAGATTGATGGGGCAAGAGTATGACCAGGAGACCAGATAGGAAATATATACACTCATCTAGGCAGCTAGATGGTGACTTGGACCAGTGATGGAGGTAGTGAGAAGCTGTGGAGTTCCAACACATTTGGAAAGTATAACCAATAAGATTGACGAGTATGATGTAGGGTAATCAGAGAAAGAGAGGAGTTAAGGATGACTCTAAGTGTTTTGGGAATAACAATTAACAGTATGGAATGACCATTTACTGAGGTAAAGAAGTTTGGAATGACTTTGTGTTGGGGAGTGAAAATCAGAAGGTTGACTTGGGGCATATTAATTAGATGTTCAAATGGTACTGTCAAGGGGCATATTAATTAGATGTTCAAGATTGTCTGTCAAGGGGCAGTGGGCGGTATCAGTTTGGAATTGATTATAGTCTCATCTGGATATATAAGTTTGAACTGTGTTGATGCATAGGTGATATTTGAAACCTTGAAACTGGTGTTGTGATCATCAAAAGAGAGAATGATGACAAAGAAAAGAAAAAGTCAGAGGACAGAGCCCTAGTATACTGGCAGTTGAGAGTTCAGAGGGATAAGGAGAAATTAGCAATGGAGGCTGGGAGGGTATCAGGCAAGCAGGAGGAAAACCATGAGAGCATGCTGTTGTAGAAGCCAAATGAAACTACTTTCAAGGGGGTGGAAATGATTTGTTGTCTCAAATAAACCAGATAAGGATAAAGAGGTGATCATTGGAGGTAGTAATGTGCAGGTCATTGGTGTTGTTCACAAGAGAAACTTTAGTGGAAACATGAGGGAAAAAGCTTGACTGGACTGGTTTAGAGAGAGAATATGCAGAGGATCTGAACAATGCGTATACATGATTCACATGACTCAAAGCTTATACTGTAAAGGTGCAAAGGAAAGCAAAGGAACAGGATAATTAGGAATATTTCAGGGCCTTTGGATTCTTGCTTTACCTCCCCTTTGCCTGAGTTCCATCCAGAGGTGAGATGGATAGTTACCTGAGAGCCTTGACTCTGGGTCACAGTATTCCACTTTGAGAATAAGCTGAGTGTATTTTTGCTTTCCATATCTGTTCTTTCTCTGAAGCAGGCTCAGACATGGGAATTAGCTCCTTTAGTTGGTCTACTAGGGTGACCAACCATCTAGAGTTGCCTACCTGCGCCAGTAACTATGAGGCAACCAGCTAAACCACCCCAATTTTAGCACTGAAAATAACTCACTGTGTAAAACAGCACAGTCCTTGGCAAATTGGAAATTGCCCACCCTATCCCCAGTGGTGGGTCAAATTTGGGAGGTACCTTGTAGTTTCTGACAGGTTTTTGTCATAAATTTTCATTTACCTTCCTCCAGACTAAGATTCTATTGATTATACTATCAAAAGTGACTCTTTCTAAGTGGTTGCAGTGGTGGTGGTTGTGGTGGGGAGAGTTTTTTATTTGTTGTATGGAGAAAGTGTAGTATTTAAGTATTTATACTATGTATCAATTATAATTGGTTCAAATGTAATAATAAAGAAAATTAACATTATTGTAGGTATTTCACATTTGTTAATATTTGAATTACACTCTTTTCTGTTACCATATATTTGTAAAGAATAGATCATTATGTTTTCATTCAAGACCTATCTCAAGAACAACATAGGTTAAACAATCTCAGAAATTGCTAAAACTTGTTAGAAAAATAGGTCTTCTCTGCTCCCCTTTCCTTGCCCAGACTTTCAAAATATTTTTTAGAAACACCTAAGTGAACAATTTTAAATCTTGTGTGTTTGGCATGGGTCTCTACCGCTGTAAGTTCTGTGTCTCTTGGCTTTGCAGCATTCCCTAGCTCCCTCTTTCTCTCCTTTAATATATTAATAAAACTAAAGAAGGAAACTTCTGTGCTCTGATTTTTTTTCCTAACAGGTGGATCTAAATAAGACTGAAGATATGATATCAAAACTGGAAAGCCTCCACCAGCAGCCTCCAGTCTGGGATTTTCTACTCTTATTGCCACAACTATATGCAAAAAATATTCACATTGAAGACCACATACATGCTGTAGTACTATTTCTCCAGGCAGTTAGAAAGTAAGTTAAAAGAAAAGTAATTATAGATGTGTTGCATTTTTCCTCCTAACTTTTAAAATGAGAAAATACATAACTGAGGAAATGTTTGACAAGAGAACAAAAACATCCATGATATGATGGCCCTGAAATGACTGGAATTTTTACACATCACATCATTCCTCATCTATCTATATATTTTAGATAGTGTAGTAATGTACACAGCATATTTTCTTCTATTTAAAAATTTAACATGACATCGTTGAAGTTTCCTAAAGTCTTCAAAGGACTTTTTTTTAATGACTGCATAATATTCTATCATGGTAAAATGCCATCTATCATCATTAATTAATAATTCTCATGTTGGACTTTAGATTGTTTCTAAGTTTTTCACAATTAGAGTTATGATATGGATATAATAATTTTAACTATTATCTTAGTAAACTATGTTTCAGTTGCTCAAAATATCAGCCAGAAGTTTCAGTTTTACAAAACACCAAGTTAAACAGTGGCTTCAAATGATAGATGTCACATGGAGGCCACCTTTATTAGAATGCCTTCCTAAGGGGGCTTTCACATATTTTCAGCAGCAAGGTCTTCCCCTCCACAAAATCAAATATTGCTGTGTAGACTCATTCCATTTTATTAGTAAACATTGATACTGTTTTCAGATTTATATCTATTACTGTTTAATGTTTTGTTTTGCTATATCTACAACCACTGTGACTAATCAGCTCTGCCCTTATGCTAGGTCAAGAGAGGCTCTTTACTCATTGATCAGGGCGTCCATGGGGCCAAGAAGATGTGTCCACAGAGCTCATGTCTCCCCTAACTTCCTTACCCTGGAATTCCCGGCTCCAGTGACCTTCAGTCCACTTCCAGAGTCTGTGCAGGCCTCATCTCTGATAGACCTTATCTCTAGTATGTGCATAGCTAGGACTGAGGGATGGTCCAGCAGCAGGTGCAGCTATTGGCAGAAGGTAGAGGCAGAGGATAGTATTGGTGCTTGGCTGTGCAGGCTAGGATGCCAATATGTATGTACATGAGATCTCTGAAGTACAGGGCTGAGTTGAAAGCTTAAGGCAAGAATACAATAGATAGTTAGGAGTGACGGAATAGAGTGGGAGGAAGGTTGGGATAGGTGGTCTCTGAACCATAACAATTTCTAAATTTGAACCTGGTCTTCAAGTTGTTCTAAACATATATTTGTCAGTGTAGGCAAATGGAATGATATATTGACAGTTTACTAGCTTGAGTTATATCTTAGATCTTTGAACATAACCTGCATGCCTCCATTTGTATTCTTGCCTTAAGTCCTGGAGATATTAGGGTGGGAAATGAGATCAATTGAGCTACGTGCTGGTTATGTTTTTGTGTTAACTTGGCTGGGCCTGGTTGAGTGGCTGGGCAGCTGGTGGTAGTTAATCCCTATGAGGATACTGGAAATCAGCTCCATGGTGGGATCTACCACAAGCAGCTGGGTAGCTGCCTTTGGGTATGTGGTCTGCTTCCTGTATTTAAGGAGAAGACTTGGGAATGGTCTCCAGCATATGGTGTGCTTGGACCCTGCATGTAGCTGTGTCGTTGCTCAGTAGCCTGCTATGTTCTGCTGACCTTGGGACTTACAATGGACTTAAGTTAATGGCCTGATGTGTGGACTGGAAACATCAGGACTGTACCTTTTTACTTGTCAACCTTGGGGTTTCTCAGACTCAGCTGACAACGGCTGTCTGAGTGAAGAAATACCTCTAGCTCCAATGGGCCAGGAGCAGGAGGCAGAGCTGGACCCCAATGTTGAGGGGATTTCACCCAGGCCCTAGAGCCTGGTACTTTGAACTTGGACTTAAAGCCTCCAAATTGTGAGAGAATAAACTCCTGTTTGTAAAGGCCATCCCATTTGTGGTATATTTCCTATTAGAGTGGCACCAGGTAACCAGAACAGGCTATTTTGAGAGAGAAACAGTTTGAAATTAGAAGATATTGTGATAACTGTCATGTATCACATTAGCATCAATGTTATGAACAGGACATCAAGGTAATCTGCATTCATAGGGATTAGTATTTGTAAGGGGCACCCGTTTGCAATGGCGTATCTTGTACTCATGGGATATTTTTCAGTTACACAAAGAAGGCATGAGATAATTTATCTAACAAGAAGATATAGGAAAACTATTTGGAAGTATAACTTATTGAGGCATACACTAACTTAAGTGTATTTTTTAGTTTACAGTTTTTAAGAGTACTAGTCATGTAGTGGTTAAGACATTTGGCTGCTAACCAAAAGGTTAGTGGTTCAAACCCCAGAGCTGCTCCATGGAAGAACAATGAGGTGGTCCGCTCTGTAAAGACTTGCAGCTTTGGAAACCCAATGGGAGTCACTATAATTCAGAACCAAGTTTATGGCAGTGAGGGTTTTCTGTTTACAATTTTAAGCAAAATTATTTATAAAATGCATACATGATTTTTTAAAAAATAGTTAAAAACACATACATCTGGATGCCCTGAAGCCTCTTGCTCTATGAAATGTAGCCTAGAAACTACTAATTTAACCCATTCATATTTGGATCCATGGCTTAAGAGAGAGTGGTGTGATTGGTGTATGTAGTATTTCAAGACATTTTCCTCTAAGTATTATCTTGCTTATCAGAATTTTGAAGCAGCAAGGTGGACTGCTCATTTGTTTTCTAAGATGACAATGCTTCACACCTTGGCTGGCCTCAAAGTCTGCTTGTCTGAGTTTAAGAAAGGTCTATGGGAAAGCCAACTACACTGGAGTCTTCTGTCAAAGGCAGAGGGAAATCTGGTCAAAGTTCTAACACTTCTCAAGGGAATGCTCTAACCCATGTTTAGTCCTTTGTCTAGAGTGTTCAGATCTCATTTAAAGCCATGATAAGTAAATGATCCAGCTATATCTCACTGGGAGCCCACTAGGTAAGATGTAAATGAATCTGGAATTGATGATAAACTGTCATGCTAACCACTAACTCATACTGCTTTTGTTTTGTTTCTAGTTCCTTAACATCCCTAGAAGATTTAGATTGGCTGCCACTCAACCATATGTTCTCCAATGTTTCTGTGTCTATACTGAATGTGACCATTTCCACACTGACATTTCTGCAGGAACATGGGGTAACAGTCACTGGTAATGATACTTTGTATCTATTGCCAGATTTTAAATGCTCCACTATTTAAATGTTTTTACAATCAGCATAGAGCTAAAATGCTGTTAAAGTAATGAACTGATTAAAATATCAAATGTTGTGGTGATAGCTCTTGTGGAGCTCTGGTGGCATAGTGCCTAACGCATTTGACTGCACACCAGAAGGCTGGCAGTTCAAACCTGCCAGCCACTCCTTGGAAGGAAGATTGAGCAATCCACTTCTCAAGTGATATCACCTCAGAAACCTGAGGAGGGGTCACTATGAGTTGGTTCTTACTCTATGGTGATGAGTTTGGTTTTTGGTTTGGTAGTGACAGTTGTGTTGCATATATTTATACCACAATTACAAACAAACAAACAAACCGGAGTTACTAAACAATTACAGTGTGCCAGGTAATGTGTTGTCAGATAATTAAAAGATGAATATGAGCCATGACAGGCCTCAGATCTCCAAATGTAGTGGAGATGAAGAGTTAAACATATATCTATGGTTAGCAAACTATACCAGCAGCTTTTATAAGACTCATGAGCTAAGAATGGCTTTTATAGATAAAAATTTGCAATGAATCTGATGACAGTGAACACTAACTTTGAACCTCAATTGAGAGAAATGTTATTGACCCTTAAAGAATTCCATTCTTTTCTTGTGGTATAGATAGACCTGTACCACAAAATAATTGTACTCAATTGAATTTTGTCAATTAAAAAAAAATGTGGAAAAAATCAAATACAAAGAAGAATAAATTATTTGTGTTAAGAGATCAGACTAGACTGAAAATTTTAATTTAAAATAGACTTTGGCTAATTTTCTAACATTGTTAAAATTCTGCAGTCGTTGTTGGTAAAAAAAAAGAATGGTGGTTTTAATTTAAAAAAATAACTGGTTTTAACATTCTTTTACTTGACATTCTCTAAGGTTAGATCTATCACTGGTTCTGTGATTTTAGGTGTTACTATCTCCTGAATTCCTATTAGGCCATATTAGGAGGAAATATTTAAAAGACAGTAAAGCTAGTGAGAAGAGGCAGGTTGATGTGGACTTTAATAGTCCACTAACTGAACACAAAACTCTTCTACAGGGAGGTAAAAGAATTATCTAGCTCTTTTCTTGACTCAGGATATTATTTCCTGAATTATCAACTGTCCTGGAACATTTTACTTTTAACTTCCTCTTTCTCTCTTTCCTTTTCTCCATCTCTTCTCTGAGGGAAATTCCATAATAGTTAACATTAGAATTCATTCATCCATCCCATTATTGATCCACCCATTTGTGCATTCTCTCATTCAGTAAACTTGCTGAGCACTTTCTACATACCAAACACTGTCCCAGATAGTGGGAATGAAAAGCTGAATAATACGTGATACTTGCTTTCAGGGAGCTCATGTTTAGTTAGGGGAGAAATGTATCAATAAAGAAAAAGCAAAGGCCATGAAGTAGGGATCTGGTATCTTTCTCAGGAAAAACTTCAAGGGAGAGTTTTAAGGATCAGTTAGAGTTCATCAAGGAGGCCAGGTCAAAAACATCTATGTGTAAGTACCAAGAGGTGAAGAGAGTACTGAGTGTTTGACTTTCCATGTGGTTGGAGTACAGTGCATGATGGCAGGAGATAGCCTGGAAAGGGAGACCAGGCCAGATCACAAAGACTGTAAGAGGATAGAATTAGATCTGTGCTTTAAAAAGATATTCCTGGGCAGGTGTGAAGAATGGATTGGAGGCAGGCAAGCCTGGAGGTCAGTAGCCCCAGGATCAAATCCTTATTTACTTGATTACTTACTTACTTTATTATGGGATCTCTTACTTACTTTCCAGGTTTCAGTTTCTTAACCCGTATAATGAAAGGGTTACCTACAGAAATGTCTTTGGACCATTCCAGCCCTAAAGTTCTTGTGGTTGTTGTTGTTAGGTGCCATTGAGTCATCTCTGACAGATAGTGACCCTATGCGCAGCAGAACCAAACATTGCCTGGTCCTGTGCCAGTCTCAAATTCATAAAGTTTTCCAGTAATATGAGGCAATCTGCTTCCATAATGATACCACCTTGGAAACCCAAGAAGGGGACACTAGGAGTCAGATCCAACTCGATGGCAGTGAATTGTGTATATCAGACACTGTTTCACTGCTATTCATAAGGTTTTCACTAGCCAATTGTTTGAGAAGTGGATTGGAACTTCCTTCTTCCAAGTCTGTCTTAGCCCAGAAGCTCCACTGAAACCTGCCCATCATGAGTAATCCTGCTAGCATTTTGCAACACCAGTGGCAAAAACTCCAGCCTAACAGCAGCACGAAAGCCACCCACAGGATGACAAACTGACAGACAAATTCATCTCGTTCCCAACCTCTTTGCACCAGCCTACATTGGGTCCTGGCCTTAAAATAGAGCTTCCCCAAATGAAAGCAGCCCCCAAGCCCCAGTCCCTTCTACTTTGGGGCACGGCCTTAAAATAGAGCCACCCCCAAGCAAAAAGCAGACCCAAGCCCTGGGCCCACCTACCTTGGGCCCTGGTCTTAAAATAGAGTCTCCCCCAACAGAAAAGCAGCCCCTGAGCCCTGGTCCTGCCTATCTCGAGCTGTCCTTAAAATAGAGCTGCCCCCAAGGGAAAAGGAGCCCCCTCCAGCCTGGGCCTGGCTACCTCTGGCTCTAGCCTTAAAATAGAGGCACCCCCAAGTGAACAGCAGCCCTCTGAGCCCTAGGATCTAATATTCTTAGACTCAGATTTTTTCTTCTCTAAGGAGCTCCGGTAGCATAGTCCTAAGGCATTTGACTGCTAATCAGAAGTTTGGCAGTTCAAACCCACCAACCGCTCCTCAGAAGGAAGACTGGGCAATCTACTGCTGTAGTAATACTTCCTCAGAAACCCAAGGTGGGGTCATTATGAGTTGGATCCGACTCCACAGCAGTGAGTTTGTTTTCGGTTCAAGGAATAACCTAGCAAGATACCATCCCCAATTCACCTCCCACTCAGCCCCAGTTTCTTTCTGTTCCTCCTTGGAGAAGATCCCCATAGATAGGAAGCATTTGTCTATGTACTTTGTAAGAGAGAAGCCAGCAGATAGGTCATTAATGTTTAAGTTGTTTTTTACTTTGAGTTAATTTCTCAGAAATTTTAAACAAAATCCAGAAGTGGTGTGGAAACACACACACACATGCACACAAAGCTCACTGCAATCTGTTTAGTGACCTCAGTTAATATGAACTTATTTGGAACCCTAAGTTTTTGTACATATGCCAGATTAAAATGGACTTACCTTATAATTGGAAATGTAATTACAACTAAGAATGTAATTTAATATAGGTTATTTCCTACCAACTTGCCAGTGAATCAGAGCTAAGGAATTCTATTAAAAAACATAGTTCTAGGGGCAACTAAAAATTTCCTGCACTTATTTCTCATTTCCAAGAAAAAATTCTTTTGCCAAATGAACAGATTACAGTCTCATGGGAAAGGAATGGGTCATGCTAGTGGCTTTGGGCTAAGTCATGTTATTCATTGAAATTGTTAATCCAGCGTATTTTGACACTGTTATTAAACAGTGAATTTCAGAATATAAGATGTCTTTCATATATTAATGATTACTTTATACTTATCCGTACACTTGATGTTATGCTCTCTCTCTCTCCTTTTCTTTTTTTTAACTTCTTTCTGGCAATCTGATTAGCAATGGATAATTCCAGCACATTCTGAGAGTAGGACAGAGTAGTGCTCAAAAGTTAGGTTTGGGAATTAGATTACCTGAGTTTGAGTTATGGCTTAATCTATAAATATGACCTTGTTATTGTTAGTTGCTATTGAGTCTGTTCCAACTCATGGCAACCTTATGTATAATAGAGTGAAATGTCATCAGTCCTGTGCTATCTTCATAATCATTGTTATGTTTGAGTCCAGTGTTGTGCCTGTTGCGTCAATCCATCTCACTGAGGGCTTCCCTCATTTTCGTTGTGTCCCTACTTAAGCAAACATGATGTTATTTCCTAGCAAGTGGTCTTTCCTGATGATGTGTTCAAAGTAAGCTAGTGGAACTCTCAACATGATCCCTTCTAAGGAACATTCTCATTGTATTTCTTCTCAGACTGATTATTTTGTTCTTCTGGCAGTCCACAGTATATTAAATATTCTTTGCCAACACCACAGTTCAAACACATCGATTCTTCTTTCTTTACATTATCCAACTTTCATATGCTTATGAGGCGTTTGAAAAGGCCATATTTAATTCAAGCACACCCTATTTATCAAAATAACATATTCATTCCTTAAAACTTTAGAGTTGTCCCCCCCACTCCCAGCAGATTTTCTCAATTCAATACATTAATTGATATTTTGACTGCTGCTTCCTTGGATATTGATTGTTGATTCAAGTAGGATGAAACAATTGACAACTTCAATTTCTTCTCCATTTATTATGTGATGTTTATTGGTTTAGTTGTGAAGATTTTTTACTTATTTACATTCAATTGAATGTGACGTTAAGTGACTGTAAATTCAGAATATTACCTTAAGTGACTAAAAATGTCAGTTTCCTTCTTTCTGAAAAGGAATACCAGCAGTACCTGACTTACAGTGTTGCTAAAGAACTAACTAGGGCCTCACATAAGAAATGTATCTTAGGGCCTGGTACATCAACATATAATAAATGATAGATCAAATGCTAGAATCAAACTTTTGTTATGCCATGAAAAGAGAAAGAGACTGGAAATGAGGAGGAGTCTTGTTTCCATCCCATCTTTGGTAAATTCCTGAAGCCCTCTTCAATTTGGTTCATATTTGTAAATGGCATGATTATACCTTTTCTACAGATTTTAGAGGATTAATTTAAGGATACATGAGACCATGCATATGAAAATGGTTTTACGGTGCTGGGCAAGTATAGGCATTCAGGAGATGGTGTGAATCAAACCTGAAAATATCTAGTCGCTCGGTTTCAAATGAGGGTTCATTTTGGGATTTGTTTCAATTGCTAGATTGTATTCTGTAGAAATTTTGTCA